TTGTGTGATATGGTTTTTTTTTGGCACTAAATGTGTTACATTGATGGAGTGACTCAAGTAGGGAGTGGGGTAGTTTCGGCCAGGGTTGTGGGGCAGGGTATACGGCTCTTTTCAGGGTGGAGATAGGCTCAAGGTTGTCATGGTTAAGTAAAATGGTTTAGGGTTGGAGAATTCATTCCAGAAAGGATCGTAACACTTAGACATGATTCCACTGATTTGTTTAAGGATTTGAGGGTCAGGTGTAGTACCAGGGGGTACAACAGTTGGTTGCTTGATATTTCATAAAGTGAGTAAACTATCTCAAAGAATTGTTCATCACCGGTGCTACTCCTACAATCACTTATCCTGGGGTTGATTCACAGGTAAGTTAATGCAACCTTAAGTTATGTTTGGCTGAAGGTCTTTCTTTTGTGTGTGTGTGGTGGGGGGGGGGGGTGGGGGCTCTTGAGGGAATGGTTGTGCAGGGCTTAGCTTAATCTGGTAAATAAACCCAACTCCCAAACAAAAATGCCCTCATTTTAAGAAATTAAGCATGTCAGAGTATAATATAACTCTTTCCATTTTTACAAATCGCAAATGTACATCCCTCCCAACTCTCAAACAGAAATGCCCTCATTTTTAAGCAATTCAGCATGTCAGATAAAAAAATATATGCAATTTCATCGTCCTAAGCACATAAAATTTCAACTTTAGAATGTACATAAGGACCAAACCTCAAGAGAATTTGTCCAGCACTCCTCGGGAAGCAAAGGGCGCGGCCGGATACGATCGGAAGACGCAGAGGCTAAAATTTTAACACTTGGACCTAAGTGTTATTTATGCACAGTGGATTTTTATTCAACTATTGATATAAGGGCTAGCATACCAGGTATGGATTATTGAGTACTTTTTGAATAATATATGTGTGTGTGTGAGTTTGTGCGTGTTAAAATTTTTAACACAATATACCAGTCCATGCCTTTTAATTAAGTTGCAGATCCTATAAATTAATGTCCTGCCTTGGAACTGTCTTGGCAAATGAAGAAATTCTTGGAGTAAGTGAACCTGGAGAACATTCTTTCATTAGAATGGTATGCTTTAGATATACATG